TATGAGCAATATGGGCAAACGCCCACGGCGTTATCTTTTTAGGGATGGCACGAGACCACCACGCATTGTAGCACAGAGATGGAATATTTAATATTGGTAAAATGTATTAAGTATTTAATATCTAGGTGTTTTTATGGGAATATGGATCTTTCAGATTATTTTGAGAAGCAATTTCGATCATATTTTACATTTTATTGTGTCATGTAGCGCGGGCCGCTGGTCTTGGTCTTGTCTCGGTCTCGATACGCTCTGGTCTTGGTCTTGTCTCGGTCTCGATACGCTCTGGTCTTGGTCTTGTCTTGGTCTCGGGTTAGGTGGTCTTGACCACAACACTGCTAAAAACTTAGGGATGCTGTGGTGATGCAGGGGTTAAACACAACCCACGTAAGGAGGCCTTAGTCCTTGATGTGGCCGGCACAGGTTTGATGCCCGGTCTGGTAGCCTTTGCTGCATGTCTTCCTTCTCTTTCTTTACCTACTTTCAGGTATTAGCACTTTCAAATAAATGACCAAAAAACAACCTTTAAAAAAAGATTAAAAACTCAGAACCATTTGATATGTCAGGTTTATTTTTGAACAAAAGCAACCAAAGGAAACATTTTTGATGATTTTGTATTTGATTAGAGAAAATTATGAAAACAGAATAATAAGAAAAGAAAACATAAAATCAACAGAAATAAAAAATGGTTCCAGTCACTGATGTAGTTAATGTACAAAGTTTCCAAAATAAATGATACATCAACAATGATTACATTTAAAGGCAAAATCTTTGATTATTTCAAACTGAATAATTCTGATACTGAAAACATGATTGCTTTACAGAATGTGTTTTACTGGACAGTTTTACTGGCAGCTCCTTTAAAAGGACTTCATGTCCAGAAAGTCAATAAGATTCTTCACCCAGAGCTGGTTTGGATTCACACAGATGTCGCGTCCTTTTCTTGTTTTTAAACTGAAAGAAAAGACATATTTCTCAAAAGAGGGATAAAAGTAATAAATGAATTTTGATTTCAAACTCAGTTAGCAATACTTACATGACTGCTCTAATGGCACAGCGATGATCAGTGTAGTTATATGAAGAGATGAGATTTTTCTTCACGGGGTTTTTGAAGAATTCAAAGCAGCATTTATCGGGATTAATTCCATCTGAAAATGACACAGTTAGTTAATGGGGAATGTTGAATGAACATGAGTTATAACGTTTAGTTTCCCTTTGTGGTCAATTAAGTAATCTTGAATTGGAATTGAATCAGAATCAGAATTCCTTTTATTGTCATTGCATAAGAAAGCACAACAAAAAAAACCCAAAAAGAATGAATTGAATGTAACATCAGCTGATCAGAAAATCGTCTCCAGGTGAACTTACAGTTGCAGAGGACTGTGGACAGCAGAGCAGCTCCCAGGATGCAGAGCAGGAAGATGTTAACAGCCTTCATGATGACCAGATGTTCCTCTGTGAGTGATGGTGGAGACACTCTGGGTCTTATGAACCAACAGTGGGCTGCAGTGCAACCTTTATAAATATTAAAATATTTTAAAAATGGGTGGAGGTATCAAAAGAAAGAGGAGGTGTTGGTGGTTACTCGATGACAGAATGCTGCTGTGATGGTGAAACTTTCCACTTCATTAGAAAGAGTAGATGACAGAGGAAATGCTGCTGTGGTTGGACCAAAATGCACCTCAACAGCAAGAAGTAAAAAAGTTAAGTGTAAAACTTCTGATTCCAAAAGAAAAAAGAAAAAGGTTGAAAAAAGCAGAAAGGAATATATTTAAACCTTTATTTACTTAATGATTTGAGTTGGTTTTTAGCCCTTTTTTGCCTTTTGGTAAAGAAAAAAAAACAGAGTTGTGTTTGATGTATGGCTGCATCTTTTACAGCAGAATCTTCTTTTCCAAAGAACAACAACAAAAAAAACGCACAACTCCAAATGTAGAACATGAATCCATAGAGAATGTCATGACTGTCCTGAGGCAAGTTTTCAAGCTTCAATAGAGAGAGAGAAAGAAATAATTTCAGCCACTTACGCAGAGTTACAAGAGGCAGATGTATATCTGAGACAATGTCCCATCTATTGATATGTTTTTTTATTCTGCTCCAGAAGGGGCAACAGATGTTCCTCTGATAGCGATGATAGAGAGCAACACCTCAGCTGACGGTGTGGGCCTTTAAAAAAACAGCATACTATAGCGCTGCCTTTATCAAGATCAAAATATTTAAAAATGTGCCAGACTTGTAAAAAGAAGGAAGGAGTTCCTGGTCACTCTGTGTCTACTCTGGGTCACTTCCTGTTCCTACTATCCAGCCTTTCTCAGGACCTGAGCTGGTTCTCACACAGAACCGTTCAGAAGAATATCCAGATGGAAAACATCCACAGAACTGTCCAGAGACGAGCATCAGGGCTGACCTTCCCTCCATCCAGGATGTGATTAGGGTTAGGAAAAGGGCCGCTAACATCTCTGGAAACCCCACACATCCTGGACACAAACTGATGAACATTTAACAGTCAGAGTTCCCAGATCAATACCATATTTATATGTCAACTGTGACGTGTTACCTCATGTGATTAATCTGAAAATATTAATGTGTTAATGTAACATAACGCAGATTAAGCTAACTATTTTGACCTAAAAGTCTCTTTCCTGCAGAGCGTAGCCTAGTTCATAGCAGCAAGTTACAGGCTTGACGAACGGCAGCATAAGATGAAAGTTTTCTGTGACGGCAACAAATGTTGAACATTCAAATTCCTTGTTTGCTTGTACAAACTTGACAGACAAGGCTGATTTATTCTAGTTTGTACATCAAAATGACTTTTCGTCATCATTTCTAGATGTTTTCTGCAGTTGGGTTGTCACTACGCACTTTTCTGAACCATGACAGATTGTTTTAGGTGTCTTTAACCACTAAACCGAGTCAAGCTATATATACATACATGTGTTTTTACCTATGTGTTTTATGACCCACATGAAAACTCACAAAAAAATGTCTCCCCCTCAGCTTCCTCTTTAGCTGAATTTTTCAGAGGCCTGCATTTCTGCATTAACTTTTAACAAACACTGACTACAAATATAGACATGAGATACTTGTATACTTTCAAATGAAGTTTTTTTTTTATTTAACATTAGCTAGATGTTCATGTTAAATTTATTTGGATAACACATTTGAAAACATAAACATTTGATGAAAGTACTTCACAATTTACACATAATACAGAATAAATCAGCAAAAAGAAATGGCAAGAGCGAAACGAATGTATTAAAAGTATCAGAAGAATGTGGAGGCTTCAACCTGATTTTCAGAAATATGAATAACAGCTGATGATCTTTCTGACCAAGAAGGAACATGCAGAGTACATCTGTTGCAACATTGATATGAATAAACTTATTAACATTAACTGTTATGTTGACATGAGTGGTGGTAAGGTTTACCTCTTCTTAGCCTCAACTAAATGTGTGACTGCATAATCCTAAATGTACATGAATGTTTGCTCTTCTTTTCATCTTTCTGATTATGATTAATTTCCTATTAAGGAAATTTGAGGTGCAACAAGCTGTCCCTGCTGCAACACAAAGTCACACATCGAGCAGAACGTATCCTGTTGGGTTTGTGGTTGTACCCAGAAATGTTTATCATGACTCCACACACACATGAAATGGGTTTAATGTAGAATGTTGCTGACAACGGATTATTCAGGTCACTGTAGTTCTGCTAAACTCTGTACAGTTTGTTCCAGTTTTCGGTTAGTTTTCCTGAAGATCCTGGATTAACAACTGCAAAATCTAACAATCAGAAAAGACAAAAACCTAAATTAATCTTAAACTTAAGAGTGATTAAATTCAAGCATTCTCCACAGCAAATAACAGTACTTCCCCCTTTATATATTTATGATGGCTTATAATCTTTTAGTTGAAATGTTCTTATTTTATGTTTTAATTTGACTCACCATTTTAAGCTTAATAGTAAAACTTTTAACACATTACACTAACAATAACTTTGTGAACAAAGTTTTAATCAATTTATCTGTAGGCCATAATATACAAATGCTACCAAACATTAACATTAGGTAAAGGCTGATTGAATTATTTCTGCTTTCAGCTCACTGCTGAAAACCAGCGGGAGTTTGAAACAAGGCGCCCCAGAGACAGACGTTCCCTCTCGGCATGGCGACCCAGCTCCGCCCGGTCCGCTGGTAGAGCGGCGAGACGAGCCGGCGGTGGAAGCGGGAGCGGACATGTCCGAACACGACTGAGCATTTCGGTAAATTAAGCGATATGTTCATATATCGAGCAGATATTTTATATTTACTCAGCTAAATTGTCACCTAATAACTAGTGGGCTTATCGCAAACGATATACGAAGTTTTTGTGTGTGTTTTTATATTCTGAATGGATATTTTTGTACTGTGAATATATGTAAACTTAACACTGATAGCTTTGGGCACAGCAGCGTAAATACTTAGATACGTCTGTCACTTTCACAGTTACGTGCTACAGCGATCCGCGCGCCTTTTGCGTCCACAAGTGAACGACGCGCGGGAAAAGCAGGAGTCGGAGGAGATTGGAGGATTTCTCAAACATGCACCAGAGAATCAAAGCAACTCTCCAGGTATGTTTCTGGTTAAATAATAACATCATATTATGATGTAAAGCTAAATAAAGTTGATTTTATTTAGTACTGCCCTTCTGACATTAAAAGCATGAAGTAAAAACTAACATGTACAATGATGTTTTAAGTTTGAATACATCTTCAATCTAAGAGCAAAATGTATTCTTTTCGCCCCCTGCTGGTAAGAGTTAACTAAGAAAATCTGTTCAGGGACTGACTGTTACTTTAAGAAAAAAAAATCACAGAAATAAAATTTAGTAACATAAGTTTTATATACAGGTTTTCTAAATAAGTTGTAAATTGATAATAAAACTATAACTACAATAAATCAACGCTGCTGTTAAACCTGCCTTGCTTAAAGCTTCATTATTAAGATTCAAAAATCAGAACCATTTGACAAAAGTTACATTTATTTTAGAATAAAATCAAGTAAAAGAAAGCACCCAACAACACAAGCATTGTGTTTGACTAGAGAAAAATAGAATAGAAAAACAAAAAAAGGGGAAAAAACAACAATCAAAAACACCAATTCAGTCAATTCTGTAGGATAGCAGGTGTCGTACAAAGCTTTCAAAATAAATTTTAGCATAAACGATGATTACTTGAACCAAAATCTAATGCCAAAATCATAATCACTCTGCCACACGTGTTACATTGGGCTTCATGTGATCTGATGAAGCAGGACAGGCAGATCCTTTAACGGGACTTTTTCTCCAGAAAGTCAGTAATCTTCTTCACCCAGGGCTGCTTTGCATCCGCACAGATGGGGCGTCCTTTTTTTGTTATTAAACTGAAACGAAGACGAATAAAAAGAGACTCACCAACGAGCTTCACATTTTACAGAAGTAAAACAAAGTTAAACAAACAGAGGACAACAGGAGTCCAGCTTGCAGTACTTACACGATTCCACTCAGTGAACAGCGGTTATCAGTCTTGTAATATGAAGAGAAGAGACTTTTGTTCATTTGGTTTTTGAAGAAATTAAAGCAGCAGTCGACCGGAGTACTTCCACCTAAAAATCAGACCGTTAGACTGACATCAGCTGATTGGAAAAGCTTCGTCTCCAGGTGAACTTACTGTTGCAGAGGACCGAGGACAGCAGAGCTGCTCCCAGGACGCAGAGCAGGAGGATGTTAACAGCCTTCATGATGACCAGATGTTCGTCTGTGAGTGACGATAGAGACGCTCTGGATCGTTTGAACAAACGGCGGGCTGCAGTGCTGCCTTTATTGAAACCCAAACATGAAAAAAAATCTGTCAGAGCTTCTGTCAAAACCCAGAAAAGTCTGGGTTTTTGTGGTTATGCAATGACTGAACAACTTCTGTGACGGTGAAACTTTCCACTTGATTAGGCAGAGTGAAGATTTCAGAGGAAATGGAGAGGTGGTTAGACCAAAATGCATGTCAAAGGCATGAAGTAAAAATTCTCTACCACATGTAAAACATCTGTGACTCTGACATAAGATAGATAGAAATTTGACAAGACTAAAAGGACGTGTATATATTTGTGTTTATATCTTTGTATTTGCCATTTGCTGCATGATTTCATGTTGGATTTTACAATTTTTCCTAAAGTCAAACAAAAAAACATTATTAGGCCTCATAACTAAGACAGAATTTAAACGTATCAATTTGATTTTCACTCTGTTTTATGAGGTTGATTTGATTTTATATTTCTCAATATGAATGAAATTTATTTGACATGTAAAATATCTTCCTATGACATTTGTTGTGAATTGGTTCAATATAAATAAACTGAATGGACTGGGATTAATGATGAATGAAATCTAGCAGTAAACCTCAAGAATCAAACTTCAAAACCTTCATCTCTGACCCACGAAGCCTTTAGATGAATCGACCAGTGATGTCTAGAAACTGGTCCCAGAATCGGACCCTGTGGTACCAAGTAAGGAAGAGGTGATGAAGGGGTAACATTTTTGCTGTTTCAGAGTTTAAAACTAAACTAAAAGATTTCAGGAATGTCATTCTCATTTAAAAAAGTGTTTGTATATAAAAAAAAACATAATTATCTTTAAGATTTTAGAAAGAAAAGGAAGTTTGGAGATTGGTCTGAAAATCAAATGAACTAAGGAGTCAGGTAGATTTACTACTGCATGTGTTAAAACTTCAGCGATAACATTTGCTTTATAAACAGCATGAGGATTGTTACAGTTTGTAGCAATGATTTCAGAGAAATATACGTAGAATACCTGGTTATTAATTAAATGCACAAACCTAACGCAAGACTCCTGATAGAGAGAAACTCATGGTGCTTTAAAGCACAAAGGATTTACTGTTAGTAACGGCTACTGGTAAAAACAGAGGCAAAAACGGCAGCAGTGGAGAAGTTAAATACACGACAAAGCTTGTTGAACCTATAAATATTGTAGTTTTCATCTTTTTTTTCTATTTTGCAGACGCATGAGATTTTTTCTGCAGTAACTGGGACAGAAGACTTCACACAGATGGAAACATTTGATTGATTTGACCAGAATAACGCGTCTAATCAACCTCATTATAACATGTTTATCATGAGTCGTTTCCTGCTGCGTGGCCGTGAAATATTAAACACTTTGTAATACATTAATCAAATTTTGTGAAATTGTAACATAATCATGTGCACAAGCAAGCTTAAATCCTTCTATTCTTGTTTGGCTTTATTTTAACACTTGAATTGAGCTGAACTGCAAATAATGTCACAAATAGTGGCTGAAGTACGTCTTTTTACCAGCAGGGGGCAGCGTATGTATATAAGTTAGTGTGTCTGAGCCGCTTGTGTAGAAATTGTTAGTTTTATAATAAATGACTTCATATTTTCTAGTAATGATAGAAACTTTTATACTTTAGTTCACATTTATCTGACAAGACTAGTTACCATGACTACGATACACATTTTTTGATTGATTATTGTGTTTTTAACATGTAAATCATTGGCCTTGCTGCTGAAATGGGCTGTTCAGGTAAACTTGACCTGACCTGAATACAACCACAGAGGTTAAGCTTAGCTTAACAGAAGATCCCACCGCCTTAAATATTTTTTCTCTACATCAGTCAGCTGAAATCTAGTGAAATTTGTCTGACAGTTTTGTTTGTGGTCAGAACTCACCAAGCTGAGGTAGAGCTGTTTCAGTGCAGGCGTTTCTCACTGCTTCATAAAAACATCGTGTTCTGAACTCAGCTCAGGAGGATGCACACAAACCAGAGAGTCCAACTCCAGAACAAAATGTTAAAAATTATCTCTGTTTTAATAATAATAAAAATAAAATATTTTAAAGAATGAAAAGTTTGTGTTAGAGAGTTGCCTCTTCTAGGCAGGCATCTGTAGAAACTCACTGCTTCTCAAAGCCAGGGTTCAGTTCAGCAGAGAAAAAGCAACGAGAAAATATTTCATGCAACGATGCGTCAACAATATGACACCATGTTGGTTTGACTGTAAGATGAGGAAACTGGTTCCTGTCCCAAATAAATCTCCTTTTGACAAATTCCATGATCAGTTCAGATTATCTGGACACAGATCTGAGCGATCTGTTCCTCACATTCTCTACTTCATCTACCTTAGTGGTAATGCAGCCAGCCAATCAGGATCAGCCGAATGCTCTTCCTGCCAGCATTATGACTTCCTGCATTTATAACTTTCTAACTGGCACACTTAAAAAAGCATTCCCATCCCTCTTACCAGTGCCCTGCCTTTCCTTTCTTAACCGACAAATTTTCAGATTTAAGTGAAGCCAAACATGTCAGATGTTACTTCTTAAAGCTTTTTAGATAAACCTGACTGATAGACAGAAGAGCAGAGGCCAAAGTTCAACTTCAGTAAGTTGCAACCAGCTGTGCCTGTTGTGTCACATAATCACGTATTAAGCAGAATGTCTCCTGTTAGGTTTGTGGTTTCATCAATATGTTCATCATGGCTGCAGAGAGACATGAAACCATCGTAACCATGCTGAGCTGTGGTTCATCCTGTAGCGCTAATCTATAATGTTTACAGTCTGTCTTCTTCACTGACTGAGTGAAGTCAGAGATCAGCAGCAGATCAAATCATGCAGCAGGTAGTTTGGATCAGTGTGGTTCTGCTGAATGTCGTCTGGATCTCCTTCTTCTTAACTCCAGATCTGGACTTCTCAGGTAAGACCAGCTAAACCCAACATCAAATGTTCTTTTGCTTTTGATGTTTACTTGGATACATTTGAACCTATTTGTGGAATTGTGAAATGTGGTACATCCAGATCCACACAGAGGCATCGGTTCAAATAGATCAGTTCCAACATTAATATGCAACATGAGTGGATGTGACCTTGTGACCTGCTCTGTAACCGGTTTTGTGTCTCTCAGTGTTTGTGCAGAGGAGAAGCATCAGCAGCTCTGATGAGACGTTCATGATGGAGTTCTGCCTTCAGCCAGACTCTGACAGGAAGTGGACATCAGCTGGACCTTCAGTCAGCGGTCCAGATGGAGACATCAGCACCGTCACAGAACGTCCTGGTGAGACGTAGACGGCTTGGTTTGAGATCTGAAGATCTCAATGTTCTTGATGTTTCTGTCAGAAAACTAAAACATAAAATTATTCTCCATTTTGGATTATTTTTAGTCTCGGTACAAATACAGCTGTTTTGTGGAATCCCAATTAAATCTATTGAGGTCTATTTGAGCAAAGTGGCAAAATGAGATGAAATTCTGAGTTATATTTGAAACAAAATAGTAATGAGGTACTGGCTGTACATGTTCCTGAGAATATATTTTTATATAACTACATATATAGTTCAACATTCAATCCATGCATAATTTGCAGTGAATAGAAAGAAAACTCAACATGAAGAATCCAACTCAGGTGACAAGTTTCCAACATCTGCAGCTCCTGATCCTGATCAGATGTGAGTAATTAAACCTTTATGTCTTTTCTAACTGTGATGCATCAACAGAAACTGACCTTGAACCCATTTATGAACACAAAGATGTAAGCTAGTTTAATCTGAGTCGTCATGTGGAACCTTCTTCTTATGCTAGTGCAGTGTTTGCGAAAACGGACGTTACTGACATAGTTTAATATTGTCTGAAAAACAATATATCGTCATTTAAAGACATTGTAAACCACAGAGCTGTACGGTTTGACACATATGTCACATCTGAGATGAATAAAGTCTGCAGTTAGTAGTTTGTGTCGGTCTTTGAGCAGAGACTTTAGCTAACAGATGGGAGATGAACTGTTTAGGATTTTAATATGTCTCCATGGTAACAGCTTTTCCTCAACAGGTCTCTGTATTTCTATCGGCTGCATGAGTTCACATCACGGTGCACATTGCTCTGCTTAGCAGCTTTGGGTCAATAGGAGGCGCTCTGCATCCCTCAAACATGCATGAATGAATGTTTTGATTACTTTTAGACTTGGGCTGTTAATCAGGTTAATTGGTAACTAATCACTGAATAACTCCAACAAACAACCTTCCTACTCATTATGTAAATTGATTGTGTGTAGATAAACTTTTTTGTTGTTTTATTTTTCAGTGATTTGAATGGACCGACTGTATCTACTGATGAACAGAGACTGACTTCACCACCAGAGTTCAGCTCCAGCTCTGAAGCTGATCCTGTTACAAAGATTCCAACAACTACTAGAAATCAGAAGGTCACCATCAACCGACCCAGACAGCACAAAATCACCCTCAGTCCACTCAGTCCAGGACCAGGAAGTGAGTTTTTCCTCCAGCAGGTTTCCATCCAAACAGAGATGTCATAGATTTGGTGTAAACAAAAAAAAATACTTTTCATAAATGTATGCTTGTGACATTGAAACCGTGAAATGTGACAGAAATGGAAAAAAGGAAGAGTGAAGGATAACACTTTTTTTGTATTCATTTAATGGAAACTCTTGTTTATTTTATGGATTATTTATTCATTATTTATATGAATAAATAATCACAGTAACAGTATTTATGTATTTATTGATTTTTGTAATTCTGAAAGAAACATATAATTACATATAGTTCAACATCCAGTTCATGCATTATTTACAGTGAATGGGAAGAAAACACAAACTCCAAAATCCAGCCCTGATGACAAGTTTCCAACATCTGCAGCTCCTGATCCTGATGAAATGTGAGCAACATTTTAACACACCAACCAAGAACCAGACCCAATAAATCAACTGTTTACATTTAGGATTGATTGTTTTTATTCATTTTAAACTGTTTTTAATCTTTCTGAAATTGCGACATGTGAGTTAGTGAACAGCTCTTACTGCTCTGAGGTAGAGAGTCACTGCTGGGAAGGAAGGAAACGACTTTTGGAAATTTTATGATTTTTAAATTTACTCCTTTTTTATTTATTATGGGCCTGATACACAGTCATAGTTACATACATGGTACCATCCTTTTAAGAAAACAGAAGCTGGTGTTTTACGGAGACAAAGACGAGCCTGAAGGATTTTTACCTGTTAAACTGCATTTCATCTGAATTACACTGCAAAATCACAGAACCTCACCAGGAGTTTCCATCTAGTTTCTAGTGCAAAAGTGACAAGTCAGTTTTCAGAAAGATCTAGAAGCTTGGCTTAAATCAATAATGCCTTAATATTGATAAAATAATAATAATAATAATAATAATAATAATAATAATAATAATAATAATGAACAAGTACTAGTCCCTCTGATAGATTATTTCATTTATAACATGGGAAAAATGTCTTATTACTGAAATAATAAGACATTTTTAGTGGGACACACACCTTTTAAAAAATCAATATTAAGGAATTATTGAGTTGAAACCAGGTCTTATATCTCACAGAAAAGTTACTTGTTAGTTAGTTTCATCTTTTTTGAAATCTACTAAAGTTTTTGAAATAGAAATGAAACAAAAATACTTGGTAAGATTTTGTGTTTTTTTTTTTTAGTGAACTCTGAAGTATTTTGATTATTTTTAGTCCATAAAACCTTGATTGGGTTAATTAATGACTCTAATTATTGATCATTCTAATTGGTAATTGATCATTATTGATAAATCTAACCACCCTAACCATTCTATGTTGTATTTGTCAAATAGGAGATTTGGCAAATATAAAAAAGAAATTGTTTTATTTTTCAGCAGCTTGGCTGAACCGACTGTATCTGTTCATGAACAGAGACTGACTTCACCAGCAGGATTGAACTCCAGCTCTAATCTTGTTACAAAGATTCAAACAACTCCCAGAAATCAGAGGATGGACATCAGCCGACCCGTCCAGCAGGAACTACTCCCTACTGTCAGACAAATGAGTGAGTGTTTACTGACTGTGGAGCTGATCGGTTCAAGTCACTGCAGCCTCTTTTCTGTTTCAGCAACAAGCTATGCTAAACACACAGTTACATACAGTTACATCTATAACCATGTAAATTTGCTTTACTTGCAAATTCATTTTATTGGTACAGCTCTAAATTATACAATTCTTTGGCAATAAAGAAAGCCCACAAGTATCCTTTAATTAAAATAAAATGGGTGATTCAGGGATTTTCTCCAAAGTCAACACTAAATCCTACTTTCAGCAGTTTCTGCAAAGTCAAATTGCTCTGTGCAGTTTTTGTAATAAATGAGAATATTGCTCAGGCTGTTGTTCTAAAAACGTAACATCGACATGATTATCGCTCTACCCAATCAGAGGACAAGTCAGCTTTAACCCTTTCAGACCTGCAGTAGAACTGTGTTTTTACTCAGACTTTCACCGATGCCATGGTTTTGTTTTCAGGTCTAGCGTTTCCTGATGACTGCTGCTTTGTGTTAATGAAAGGACCAGTGAATGAGAAGCTTATCGCTTCATTTGAGGTGACTGATTCCTGCTGCCCCATGAATGCAGCCATGTAAGTACTGCAAGTTGGGTTTCTGTCACTCCTGGTAGAATACGCACAAAATTAGCTCTGTTTCACTGCGGTGTTAAAGGGGTATTACGTAAAATCCACTTTTGTGAGCGTAACATCATGTTATAATGTTATTCCCTCATCAAAAATGTACCTGGAGTGTTGCTTTGATTCTTTCATGCATGTTTGAGAAATCCTTTAATCTCCATGGCAACCATTTAGCTGTGGAAAGCACATGGGTGGACCTAGCCCTGCCTTCAAGCTGAAACTCCTCCTCTGAGCTGCAGTTTCCAAGATTCCACCTCACAGAGCGGCCCCTCCCCCACTCAGCTCCTTCAGACTAGCCAGCAGCAGTTAGCAGATGCCTGGTGGATCTGCTGAGCTCATTTTAGGTGTTACTTCTCAGTGCAACACTGGTAAAAACGTTGTCAAAGGGTTAATAGAGGAGCCATGTTGTGACAACTTCCTGAAGGCGGAGTGTCAGAAAGAGCAGGAGCTTTTAAAGAGACAGGGGCCCAATTTCAAGACGCTTAATTACAAATTTTTAAGTCCTATTTTATATATAAATAACAACTTGGAACAACTGAAGGTAACAGCTACTTGGATGAACTATAAAATGACACTATGTGCCCAGAAAACACATAATACTGCCCTGTTAACTGTTAAAGCTAAACGTTTATGTTTAATTTTATTCATTTGAGAGAAAAAAACTGAATTAATTTGCATTTCTTTTCTTTCAGTTTGATAACAAAAAAGGCACAACATCTCTGCGTGGATCCAAAGGAACCCTGGGTGAAAAGGATTATTGATTTTCTGCAGACAAGGTCAGTTTAGTGCAATGAATGTGTCAAAAATGATCATGATTATGGTAGCCGCATTATTCTACTTAAATTAATCAAAGGTTTTGATTATAATCATTGATTTTTCTTTCATTTAATGTGGAATGTTTGGACATTTATCTTACAGCAGTGACTGTAACTATTCCAGTCTGTTTTATTTATAAAGTACATTTAACAACAACATGTTTACCCAAACTGCTGTACAGGGACTGATAAATCCGAGACAATAACAAAATAAAAACAGAATTATAAAACGGACAACAAACCAACTTATTTGTCAAAAGCTCCTGAAAACAAGTGTTTATTAACTTTGTAATCACTAATCAATTAAAATAAGCTAATTCAAATATGTTTTTTCTATATCAGAGTCACTAATTAGAAAGTAGTTTTATTTCTCAGGGATTTGGATGGACCGACTCTGTCCACTCAGTCTGAGGTCAGCTCATCCCCGATGCTGAGGCATCACTCTGACGTTAACCTCGCTTTGAAGATTCCAACAACTCCACGACATCAGAAGGTCAACACCACCCTCAGTCCACTCGGCACAGAGCCAGAAAGTGAGTTTTTGCTGCAGCAGGTTTTCATCTAAGCACAGATGTCAAAGTTCAAATCTCTGAGGCTGAACTGAAACTTTAAAGACAGGGATTCAGGTTCTGTTGGTGCTCGTTGTTTAAAACACACTAGCTGCGTTCCTGTTACAAATGTCCGCAAAACGTTGTTGATGTCCTGCTACTGTCAAAAAAAAAAAAAAACTCAATTTCATTATTGCAGCGTTTCCATTAACTGAGAATCAATTAAAATCACATGAGAATAAGTTTGTTCAAGTGACAAGTCATTAAAAAACACGCAGCACCATCATCCTCTGACCACTTCCTGTTCTCTTCTTTTGTCGTTTCCTCCAGTAGTAACATCTGATTGTTGATCATGTGATGACAAAAGTGTTTTTATTGCAGTTTTTTTCCTTCAAAATACACTCATTTTGATACAGCTGAATCACCACCTCATCGTAGCACCAGAACATTTTTATGAAGAAAAATATTAGTTTAGCTCAAATTGACCTGTTTCCATTAAGGAAATGTATTTTTGTAATTCAAATTTGCACATTTATGTGATCAATAACTATTAATATTTCTGAGGCTTTGAAACAGGTGTTTTATGTTTTTTTTTTTTTTTTTGCTTTGAGTTTCCAGGTGAAACCCAGATTTATATTTTTACTGCTGCTTATGAAATATTTGTTTCACACTGCCACCTACTGGTGAAAAGAAATACTGTGTTTGGACAATTTCGGTTTCTATGGCAGCAGAAAGTGAGTATGTACTCAGACATTCAGCAGTACCGCGGTCTGGTTTTCAGATGGAACTGGTCCGATTGAGTGCTGCTTCCAGGTTTGCAAAAACCCAGTCGACATAAGAGAGATCGCTTCGTTTCACATGACTGATCCTCTGTGCCCCACAAGTGCAGCTGTGTAAGTAACTGCAAGCTGGGTGAGAAAATCTTAGATTTACTCGTATGGAATTGAAAGTTGAGTTTTAATGTGGTGGTAAAAAGCTGAACATGTGCATTTCTTTTCTTTCAGTTTAATAACAAAAACAGCGAAACACCTCTGTGCGGATCCAGAGGAACAATGGGTGAAGACGATTATTAATTTTCTAGAGAAAAAGGCCCCATAGAGGAACGTCACCATGTCCTGCTTTATCAGATCATGTGAAGAACATTTAAAGTGATCATGATTTTGGTATCAGAATAATCTGGTCCAAGCAATCAAAGATTTTGTTTTAAAGTTAAAATAATTGTTTATTTGTCTAAAAAAATGTTTTGTAAATTTTGTACAACTATCCTAGAGCAGGGATTGTAACCAGATGAGTTTTATCCACGAATGAAAAAATTATGCATTTTCTTCGGTTTTGTTTTCCATCAATAAAAGTTTTGTCAAATGGCTTTGATTTTTGATTATTATAAAGGAAACTTAAAGACAAGTTTATGTGTGTGGCATTTGAAGACATTATTATGTTCAAATTTAGGCAAAGAAGGAAGCAGTGAAATGAAAATTTCAAATAAATGATTTTGCTAAAACTTTAAACAGAACTTGAAGTGTTGAACAAAATGTCCAAATGAATACAAATGATTATACATATCATCAGAGGTGCAACTTTAAATGTCAAAAGAAAAACATGTTAATGTAGCTGATATCTATATGCCAGATGACAGTTCATGAATGTTTCTATATGTTCTGCTTCAAGCAGTCTATGTGGTTTGAACCAACCGTCTCGGGTGCATCACCACATTACACCTTAAGCAAAATGTCCGCTGTTAGGTTTGTGGTTGGATCTAAAAATGGTCACCATGGCAGCACAGAGGTGAACCCGTCTAAACTATCTAACTTTGTGGTTCATCCTGTAGCGCTAATCTATAATGTTTACAGTCTGTCTTCTTCACTGACTGAGTGAAGTCAGAGATCAGCAGCAGATCAAATCATGCAGCAGGTAGTTTGGATCAGTGTGGTTCTGCTGAATGTCGTCTGGATCTCCTTCTTCTTAACTCCAGATCTGGACTTCTCAGGTAAGACCAGCTAAAGGAGAGAAAACTTTAAATTGATGCTGCTGATGTGAGATTAGTTTGAACTGATCTGTCAGACTTCCTGTCTGTTTTTCCTTTGTAAGATCTCATTTATAGTAAATGCTCTACAGTGACTTCTTTTGTTCCACGTATTTTGGTGGAAGCTTGACATCCACTCATTAAGAACATGAATGTCATCACTTTCAGTCTTTTAATGATTTTAATAAGCCGTTCTTTTTTCAGAACAGTATTTTAGTCCTCCAGTATAGTTTCCAAAAACAAAGTATAGTTTGGTTGTACAAGTCAGAGTATCTGCTGGTTCACGTTCTTTTAAATTAGTTGGTTTCCTGCCACAGACTTAATGCTTAAGGATGGTCGATGCATCTTAATTTGAGTCCAATTCAATGCCATTCCAGAATCTTGTTTTGAGTTTTAGCTTTGTTTTTGACAAAAGTGACTTTGGCAAAAAAAAAAGAAATAAAATAAAATAACTTTTAGGAAAAAAATGACTTGGGTCATTAATTTAGGATAGTTACAGTATTCAGCATGAGTGGATGTGACCTTGTGACCTGCTCTGTAACCGGTTTTGTGTCTCTCAGTGTTTGTGCAGAGGAGAAGCATCAGCAGCTCTGATGAGACGTTCATGATGGAGTTCTGCCTTCAGCCAGACTCTGACAGGAAGTGGACATCAGCTGGACCTTCAGTCAGCGGTCCAGATGGAGACATCAGCACCGTCACAGAACGTCCTGGTGAGACGTAGATGGCTTGGTTTGAGATCTGAAGATCTCAATGTTCTTGATGTTTCTCTTAGAATACATAAAATTATTTCCCATTTTGGACACAATAAAATGCGAAAAATAGTCCATATGTGTGTCAGGAAATATGAATCTTCTAAGTATTTTACATGTAGCACAGTAGAAAAAAATATTCCATTCTCTGAAGTTTTTTGCCAAACTTTAATGTGATTCATTTGATTGATAAACTCCAAGTGGTTTATAGCCGAGAGGGAATGGAAATTATTTGTGACCTTTTTTTTAGGTGTTGACACGGAAAAAAAAATCTGAATTTTTTGTGCATTTCTTTTCATTACATTTATGCTGCATTTTATCCAGTTTCCTAATTATTATATCTGATTTGTTTTTATCTCAGTACGAATACCGCTATTTTCTGGAATCCCACTGAGGTTTGTGGGTATAATGTGTCTAAATGTGATAAAATATTGAGTTGTGTGGAAAAAAACGAGTTCAAACATGAAACTTTGTGTTTATGTGAACAGCTTTATATAACTACATATATAGTTCAACATTCAATCCATGCATTATTTGCAGTGAATGGAAAGAAAACTCAACATGAAGAATCCAACTCAGGTGACAAGTTTCCAACATCTGCAGCTCCTGATCCTGATGCTGATGAAATGTGAGGAACATTTTTGAATTTTGAGTAGAAGAAGTTAATATGTAGAAGTGCAGTAATAGTCTCTAGCCTCCTAAGATTAAAACAGAAGGCAGCCTTTTGTTTTTTTCTGGTAAGAATATTTTTGGTTTATTCTGAGTCCTTCATCCAAACAAAAATATATTTCTAGTGTTTATTGGTGAACTTTCTTCTTCTGCGGAAAATAAATGAATGACTTTGAAAAAACCAACAGTAGAATCGGTTTCACTCACAGTTATCCAACGTCAAAAAATGCAAACATTTTCTGGGAAGAACAAGGAATTTCAAAAAGTACAAAATTTCTGACTCAAAAATTTTCAACTATTTTCTAGAAAATTTCTGAGATTTACCTCTATATCTGAGGAGGAGTGTGTGGAAGGGGTAGAAATGTATTTCTCCTTTTTTCTATCTACAATGGCCCTAACATGCTGTGATAATCTATGCCTATTTACCATCCTACTGATAAAACCTGATGCTTTATGGAGACAGAGTGGCCAGAAGGATTTCTACCCACTAAAGAACTTGTAGCTTAAACAGCATGTTGTCCAATAATTTTCAGAAATATTTTGATTATTTTTTTTCTTAGGACCTTCATTAGGTTAACTGGTGACTCTAAGTATGGTCTGTGGTCTATGAATTATGTATTATGTGACTGTTTAGACAAGCTTTTTTGTTTTTTTGTTTTTCAGTGATTTGTACAGACCTACTATGTTTACTCTTCATGAACAGAGACTGACTTCACCACCAGAGTTCAGCTGCAGCTCTGAAGCTGATCTTGTTACAAAGATTCCAACAACTAATAAAATTCAGAAGGTCAACGTCAACCAGCAGAAACTCACCCTCGGTCCTCCAAGACCTGGAACAGGAAGTGAGTTTTTACTCCAGCAAGTTTTCATCCAAGCAGAGTTTTGGTATAAATAAATGTTATGACTATATTTCTGATTCAACGTGAAACATGGCCTTTGTTTTTACCTCTGCTGGGCTCAAACAGTGGATGAATTATGTTCTCCTGTTCGGGAGGCCAACAAGAAAACTTTGGAAATGCTCACACTGCCACCTGTTGGTGATAGGAAGTATTATGTTTGGACAATATTACAGGTTCTTACGGCTTATTAGGCCGTTGTAGATAGAAAAAAAGAGAGTAGAAAATCAAGAATGTTAGGCTTTTGACAATTTTACTATTTTTCAAAATTCTAACATTTTAAACTTTTGCAAGATTTTTCTGGAACATTTCTGAGATAAGTCTCACATTTTCAGGGGAAATTTATCAGATTCATCTCAAAATTTCTGAGTTTATCTAACAAAATTTTTAACTTTTGGAGCTGAGAAATATTTTTTCTAGGAAAGAAATCTAAGCTTAATCTCAAAATGTCTGATTTTTGTAATTTTTTTATTATTATTATTTTTGCAAATTTTTGACTTTTCAAGCTTTGTTTTTGTTTTTCCTAGAAAATTTCTGAGATAATCCCAAAATGTTTGAGCTTTTTGGCAAAAAATGACCACTCTTTTTTATGTATAATATGCCACTGTAGGCTCTGGCCTTATGACCTCATTTATTTAAAAATACTGATCTGTCCATTTCCTATTTATGATACTGTAGATGAAAAATCACATCAACCCAATCAAACAAAGGATTGGATCAGATCAATCAGAACTGAACCACAGGAGACTTGGTTTGAGGAAATACGTTTGCATATGATTACAATACGGCTGTTGTCGACCAATAGAAAACAGAGTTAGTGCAATAAGTACATGACAGAAGAATAGTTCAAATAAAATTAATGTTTTAAGGATTCCATGTAATGTTTGCAGTGAATGGGGAAAGAAAATCACTCAAACTGTCCTTGTCCTAAAGAGCAGAACATCAACCATTTCAGACCTGCAGCAGGAAATGACTATTTATTTGGTCATATTTTTACCAATGCAACGGTCTTGTTTTCAGATAGAAATCATCCTTATCTCTGCTGCACCAGAAATTACGAAAAACCTATATCCCTGAAGCACATTTCTTCATATTTCACTACTGGTCCTCAGTGCCCCACCCAGGGACTCATGTAAGTACCGCCGGCTGGGTTCCTGTCCTTCTTATGGATACAAAATTTCCTCTGCTTCATTTCTGACTTCACTGTTAAAACTAAAGTTTATGACTGTATTATTTTTTCTTCTTAGGAAGAAAAACCCCCCAAAATGATGTACATTTCTTTTCTTTCAGTTTTGTAACCGTAAAGCAGCGCCATGTCTGTGTGAATTCACAGAAACCCTGGGTGCTCAGGTCCATGAAGAATCTGGAGAAAAGGCCACGCTAACAGGGCCGACTGCTGTCCTGGAATACGTCTCCTGTGTAAACCTGCCTGGGTCAGACCGTGATCCAGCCAGAGGAAACCACCGATGAAAAGACAAACTCAGGTCAAGGGTCAGCTGCAGCGACCAGAGCCTTGATCTGAGGGGACGTTGAGGTCGGAGGAGACCAGAACCAGGCAAGACGTCAAACATGTTAGCCAAGCTGATACAAGCCTTCACAAGTTGAAAAACATCATTGCTTATAAGTAATATTGAAGGTTATCATTGAAGCAACTTGATTGAAGTTTTATTTGTTGGAAGAGTTAGATATTTTCTTGTTTAAATTGAATTTGAATGACTTAGCCCATAAGCTGCATGTTTTCTGTGACATTTTGATTCCAAATGTTTCTAAATTAACATAAGTTCATGTTTCACTAAGCAGAGAAACACTGTGTTGATGTGTGGTGGATATGTGGCATTACTGCTGTGTTTTATTCTACCGCATGTTGACACAACATTTTTTATTGGATTTATTTCTGGTTCTGTCAACAGTGTCATGAAATCCAACTCAACACATTGGTCTGTTCTTTAGATTTTGATTAGAAGTGTTTAGCTGTGCATTCAGCTAAGCCTGTGTTCATGAGGACAACGTTTAGTGAAGACACTAATTATTATTATTATGTTGTTGTTGTTTTTTTTCAAATATAATACCCAAATATTCTTCTGAGGAAAAGAAAAGCAAGGGACACTAGAAATCTAAATATTTATTTTGGCTTATTTATTAAAAATAGCCACACAAAGACATTTTAGTTTCACAAAAGTTTTCCAGACGGCAAGATAAAGAAAGAACAAATAGGTTTGTTAGGCGGCAGACAATCAGGAAACATGGATTTGCAAAACAGTTTCTACCAGAAAATATATAAAGAAATCAACTTCATTTTGTCTAATCTCAGACAGTAGTACATTCTGAAGGCTGTACATGTTCAGCAATAGCATTTAAACCTGACAGATACTTAATACTTGAAACTAGATATAATATGCAAAATATAATGTATTTTCTTCATTAGAACGTAAATCTGAATTTATGATTTTAGTTCAAACATTTTTGTCATGAAGCTGAAAGAATGCGTCATGAAAAGCTCCTCTGTCCACACTGAGCTAGCGGCTTCCGGTCAGTATGACGTCACAGGAAGAGGCTGTCTCTTTTAACCAAAGTGACGTCACACAGACAGAAATACGACTTCTGCTTAAGAGTTTTTTTTAATTAAACAGTAAATTAATGAGTTAAATGTTTCACTCTGAGCAGCGGTTCAGTTTCTGTCTCGACGCTTCGTTGTGGCTACATTCACTCCGATGGCACTCTTCTTCTCTTCTCTTCTCTTCTTCTCTTCTCTTCTTCTCTTCCGCCTGGTGTCGCTGTCTGCCGGGTGGTTACGGTCAGTCGAGTCAAGAATCTGTAAATGGCATCGAGAAAATGACATTTAAACATTATTCATTGTTGTTGCTTAAAAAAAATAAAAATCTCGAAGGGAAAACATGCAGGAGAATTTTGAGATTAGACCTGAAGCTGATGTTCATCTTTGTCTCCAAGTTGAGCTGAGTGACAGCATGACAGAAAGACAGAAACAAATAATAATGTCACAAATCACATCTAATGTAAAAAGACTGCTCTGATCTGATTTTTGCATATGACCTTAAAAGAAACATTTATGTCCTGTAAAAATGCATTTTATTAGTCTACATTCTTTTCCTGTCAGGATTACCTCTTTGAAGTTTCTTCATCTGAATGAACAGAAAAGTGATGATGAGGAGAAGCAAACCACTCTCAGCTCCAGGAAAGATCAGCTTCATGTTGTTTGGCTTTTCTGCAACAAACATGAAATCAGCCTTAAAATTAGATACAATCTGGAAAATCAATTAATTTTATCATTTGTTTTGTCTTTGTTAAATTTATAAAGAAACAACAAACAAGCAAAAACAAAAAGACAAAAAATATCAGTATGGAATGAAATCACTGTAATTAACTAAAACTAAAAAGAAACCAAAACAACAGACTGACATAAAGTGAAGTGTTCTCACCGATTACATGTAAATGTTGCACAGTGAACTTCAGCTTTCCACCCTGGTAACATCCACAAATATATATTCCAGTGTCTGAGATATTTACACGTTTAATTTTGAGTAAAACATTGGAGAAGTTCACGGTAATTTCAAATGATTTTCTATCAAATCCTCCACAGTAGTCAATGATTCTACGATCTCCATTAATCACAGAGATACAACTGGTCTTGGTTTGATTAATCACTCTCAACCAGAACGTCACTGAACCATCAGAGAACATGTTGGCGCTCTGCAGTGTGACATCTTCACCCTGATGAACTGTCAGGATCTCAGACCCAGAAACTGAACCAGACGTCCAACCTGAAACAAAGAGGAAACAAGTTATTCAATCTGAATTAGAGCAGAAAATAAATAAAGTCCAGAATAATGCATTCTGCTGAAGTTGCAGACATTATGATGCATTTATAGTCATTAAGCAGTCAGTGCTTACAGAAGCTGTAAAGCAGAGCTGCTATCAGGACAGAGTTCTTCATTTCCTGTTGACTGCAGCAAAGAACCGAGAGCCAATGAGGCTGCTGCAGAGAGAGAAGGAATAAAAAGTGTCAAAGTTTTTTTTTCTAAGGTTTCTGCTTATGTTACTGGACCTGCCCCCATCAGACAAGGCAGGAAGAGACGTTTGTGTCTTTAACACCATTTATGGACAATATATATCAAAGTGCTTCACAGGAACACAAATGAACAGAGATAAAACACATTAATGACTTGAAATATGTCTTTTAAGGAGGAGTGGCTTTAATACACTAGTCAAAGTGTTTGTCTTGCAACTGGAAAGTTGTGGGTTTTGATTACAATTGTCAACTTGATGATTTTTTTTAAATATTTGACTATTAATGTTTGCATTGTTTTTCAGCCTCATGTTGCATTGATGAGTGTAGCACAAATAACCTTCTAAAGTGACTAAATTATCTCGCCAAGGGATAATAAGGTATATTTATATTCTTTCCTATAATATTGGCCACATCAGTGTCTCGCTGAAATGACTTCAGTACATTTTAGAAAAAAAGAGCTTATTTTTAGCACATTATTCACACAAAAAGTGATATTTGTTGAGTCATAGGTTAGGAATGTACTGCACTCTGGCCTATTTCTCTGAGATAGGCCAGAGAAATATTTAGCTAGTTAGGAATATCTAAGTATCCTGATTGGCTGTAAGAAAAGAAAATCACAAATCTTATGAGCTTCCTTTGTTTACTATAATTGTTTTAAATGCATTGCCAACACCAACATCCTTACATTTTAATATACAGGTTGTTGTTTTTTTGCATACAGTTTCATTGCAGAGCCAAAGACTTTTTGTAAAAATGTCTCATGAACCACCAAACTTTAGTTACAGTTTAACACTAACTCTGTTTACTTCTGTTTTTGCTCTCTGTGTTTACACTTCTCTAACTCTGAGATCATCATTGAGATGCTGAGCAGCTCAAGACATGGAGAGAAAATTATTTTCATCAAGATGAACTTCCTCTATTCAAACATTCACACTGATCAGTGTGAACAGTTATTTATACACAAAACTGATAAAGATCATGATTGTTTGCAAGCAACAAGTCAGACTTTATTTTCCACTGTGTGGTTGAATCTTTAGCAGCAGAGTTTAGTTCAAAGCAACAAAACACATCATCACTGATCTGTAATGAACTCCCTTACTGAAACTAGATGTTTCTACTTTATCTTTAATAATTAGGTCAACAGTTTTACTGGATTTATTTTAGAAGAAAGGCTCTGAGTACAAATTAAAAGAAAGTCATATTTTATGAAGCTAACAGTTCTCAGAATCCAAATCATTTCTTCAGATCACAGAGTTTCTGTTTCTGTCAAATCAGGCAATGACTTAACTGACCTTGACTTCCTTCAGCTGCTTTCTAACTCAAGTTGGAGATTTAAGACAAAGATCCAACTGAAATAAAAAATGTGGTTTTGTCTCTTCCACTATTTTAATTCATTCATTAAACATTCAAAGCATCAGAATCTCTTGGAGCTGCAGTTCCACTTCCTCCTAAACTCAAAACAGAGAGAACAGAACTTCAGTTCTGGTTCACTGTTGACCCGGGATTCTGTAAATGACACCAGAACACTGATTAAAAAAAAACACATTGTGTTTGTAAGTTAAAAGGAAAAGAAGAAACTTGAAGCTAAACCCAACTTAGAAAAAAATAACTGAAGTATATTCACCTCAGTCAGGTGTGGATGTGTCCAAATCATCACCTGGGAAACAGAGACAGAAAACGATGATGATGATGATGATGATGCATTATGAGAGTTGAGAGGTTTTATTAAACACATTCTGATCAAATTCTGCTGAATGATAAATTCTCTCAGTAATTATTGCGATAAATGATATTTCTGTTGTTTTGAGACTGTTTGCAATCAATGTATCAATAATGACTGACAAATGCACTTTAGTTATCTTAAAGACAAATAAACTTTAATTTTATAAAGAACTTAATGCAAAAACTGGAAGATATTTTAAGTATCCAAAATGAAACACATCAACTGAAAACAACAAATAAAATGAAAACAAAAACCCCACTTACAATCATAACCATAAATAAAATGGATTATGAGGTCTCTGAGGACAAGTGCCCATAAAAATATTATTCATAAGAATGAAAATCCATTTTAGTTGACTATTAAATTAATTAGCTAATTAATTGATTGATTTATTGTTTCTGATGACAGAAACATTTGTGGTGATCGCTTTTAGAGCTCATTGTTTTATTTAAACAACATTTAGACATAAACAAGGAATTATCACTGAGAATAATTACGAAACACTATAAAAAGTCAGAATAAATTCTAGATGATTCTTATTGTGCCTGAAATCTGATGTGAAATATGTTTGATTTATAAATCTAGTTAAATATTCTTCCTGGAAGAGATTTAATCAAACCAGAGCCTTGTTGAACTTGAACTTTGAAATTATAAATTAATAAGAGAATCTCTGGGAATAAATGTACATAACAAACATCAATGATGTAAGAAACAATCAAAATAATATCAGTTATTTCATAAATTACCTTTCAGGAGTCAAATAACTTTAACAAGCAGAACAATGATGATGGTAACAAGCAAAACATTCAGAACTCTGAGAGTCAAAGTGATTAACTTTGTGTTATCAGGAGGACCTTCTGCAGCAAAACAAACAACAAAAACCATTAATTAGGTTTAATCATGGCTTTCAGGAATTTACAGGAATGGTGGTTTGAAAATCATCCTTACTTTGAACTTCTGTGTCATCATAAAATGTCTTTGTCCCTTTAAATAAAATTCAGGAAAATGATTTGTAAGAGAAATAAAATTAATAAAAATGCAGCAGTTTCTCCTTGGAGAATTTAAGAACATTATGAAGTTTCCTCTCACCGTTCACATGTAACTGAGTCGCAGTGAAAAGTCGATGTTGTTTGGTAGCAAATCCACAGAAATACAGTCCAGAGTCAGAAACGTTCAGCTGATTTATTCTGAGAACTGATGTGGACGAGTTGGACCAAATGTTAAATGATCCACTTTTAAATTCATCACAGTATCTGGTTGATCCTGACAAACTGATAGAGATACAACTGATCCTGGTTCTGTTGACTAATCTGAACCAGAACAACGGAGGACCAGAATGTTTGTTACAGAGCAGATTGACGTTTTCACCTGGCAGAACAGACACTGTCTGAGAAACAACAGAGATCCAGCCTGAAACATTAGAAACCAGAGATTTATGACAAAAAAAACACCATTTCTTGAGCAATACTTACAAATTATGCTAAATGTTAAAGTTATTAATGCATTTGAAGAGATTAAATAATAAAACTTACAGCAGCTGAAGAGAACAGCTCCTATGAAGACAAAGTTCTTCATGTTGAGTTGACTGAAGTGACGAGACGTCAGGAAGCTGTTAGCAGAAGTAAAATCATAATATAAAAAGATTCTGATGCTGACTGGACGGCCCACTGTGAAGCTTTCTGAAAAATAACCACAAAAGTCTAATTGTGGTTAACTTCATTTGGGTCGATGACAGGGGAGGGGCATCATATCAGGGGGAGGGGCATCATGAGAGGGGCAGGGGTAAGTACTGCAGGAAGTACTTTCTGAACAATAGACCCAGTGATCAGTTGTTTCCTGGGCATCATTTTGTTTCTGTACATAGTGTGTTTTAGTTTAGTTGTTATTGTGTCTTATTGGCGTCTGGCGCCTCCTAGAGGCCAGTTGTTGAGTCACACAGTGATAGAGTAAATCTGCCTCAGAAACAGAATGAATTCAGTTTAACAGCAGCCTCTGCTGAACCCTGTCATGTAGGAGAATCTGAGTCAGAAAGGCTATGGTGAATCCCATACAACTAGTCATTCATCTCTACAGATACATGGTAAAAAACTGCAGCAACATGGGGCTGAGTACACAGCCTTGTGGACAACCAATCCTAAGTTGAGGAGAAATGAGGGGACCAAGTTTCACAGTTGGTGTTTAGTTTCTAAGTAAATCCTTTACCCAGCTAATATAAAGCCTCTATTGGTCACTTTACAAAGTAAAATGTTAAAAACGATCACAGTGAATGATGAATTGCAGTCAGTGAGTAGTAAGTCTAACTGAGCCACAAATTAGAGTAAAACCACCTGAATGGACTCTGAGTGGACGGACTGTCTGTAGAAGTAATTATAGAAAATAAAACAGGTGTAGCTTTGCAGAGATGAAATCTTCATTCTATCCTCTCCCGTTCTTCCCAGGTTGGCTTTGTTTGTCATGTTGATCGTTTTAAAGGTTAATCTGTGAAGTTTGATCTTTGTAACCACATTTTAAATTCTGCGGAGGGGTTTGTTGGTTTTGTGGTTGCACAATAGGTAACCCAAACATGCTCAGATATCACAAGCAAAAACCAGAGGTAAAGTGTTGGCTCAGTTTACAGTAGAGTCTTTTTCCTTTCAGTGTTTTAGTTTGGACAGACGCTACAAAAAAACATGCAGAAGGTTTTTCAGCTCCGTGTGGCTCTGATGGTCGTTCTGTGGATCTCCTTAGTTTTGCCACCATGTCATTCTCAAGGTAAGATCAATTCATAAAGATTATTTTTAAATATTAGTGTTGTTAAAAAGGAGAGATCAGATCATGTTCTGGTTTCCTTCTTTTCCAATTTGCTTCATTGTTGACAACGTGTTAAAAATAAAGTCCTTTTATTTGTTGTTCTGGGTGGATCATTAATTTGTTTCAGCAGCAACTTGTTGCTGAAACAAAGACTAGAGCAAATGCATGGAAAGAGTTCCACCTTAAATCATACAAGTTTGGTGTTTTGGTAAAGCTCTAAATTGGCCAAATTATTTGTAATAAACAAATTACACTAGAACATTTTAAATAATTTAAATCATAAATCAACACTAGATTCTACTTTCAACAACAACAGCAAATTCCAAATGATTCATTCAATGTTCTGTAGTGAATGAAAAAACTGCTGATGCTGTTTTTGTCCTAGAAAACAGAAAACTGACATCACTTTGCCCATTAAAAGGAAACAGTCAGCTTCAACCATTTGACATCTGCAGCAGAAATTAGTTTCTATTCACTCAGACTTTCACCAGTCTAATGGTCTTGTTTTCAGATGGAAGAGTTCCCACTGACTGCTGCTTTCAATTCTTCAGAAACCGGGTGAACAGAGATCTCATCTCTTCATATTACAGGACTGATCATCGCTGCGTCTTAAGAGGAGTTGTGTAAGTACTGATAACTGGCTTTCTGTTCATAGGAGGTTACATGATAAAGTCTGGAATTATATTTTATTTTCTTTTTTTAGAAAAAAAAACAGCAACCAAATGATGTGCATTTCTTTTCTTTTAGCTTAATAACACGCAGGGGACGCAACATCTGTGTGGATGAAAAGGAACAGTGGGTGCAGAATATTGTTGAGCATCTGGAGAAAATGTCCCTCTAAAGCAGGGGTCCCCAAACTACGGCCCGCGGGCCGGATCCGGCCCGCCACGTCATTTTGTCTGGCCCCCTGAACAAAGCCCGATCCGGCCCGCCTGCTCATACCAGAGAGCATTCAGTGTTTTTTCATATATTGTATTTTCCGGTTTATATGTGGATTTTTCTTCAACCACCAGGGGGCTTTTGAGCAAATGTGAAACTTACTTTCCCTCAATGGAATATATACTCGTCAGTCACCGTTTCACTCACGGTTTTTTCCATTTGCATTCTGGGTAAAAATCTATCCAAAAGTGTCGTCCCCCCCCCGTCGACAAGAATTTCTGTGTTTTTTTTTACTGCAAAAACTAAGACCGTCCCCCGACCACAGAAAGGAACAGCTATGTGGCCCTCGCAGGAAAAAGTTTGGGGACCCCTGCTCTAAAGGATCTGCCGTCTGTTCTGCTTCATCAGATCATGTGAACAATAAATCACATGTGGAAAAATGATCAGGATTTTGGCGTCAGAGCTCTTACAGTTCAAATAATCAAAGATCTTGATTTAAAGTTAAAATCATTGTTTGGTTTTCTATCATTTCTTTTTAAAGCTTTGTACAACAACTAGTTGTTGTTTGCACTAAACTCTACTGGTTTAATATGTAAACCATTAGTGTGCTTTGGCTCAGACTGAAGAAAATCTCCTGAGCCTTTGATCAGATTGTTTTTCTACTAAATAACATCAAACATTTATTTTATAGTTAAATGAAAGGAAGTTTACTTTTGCAATATTTCTGCACATTACAGTTCCATTCAACCTTAAGCCAAGAGGGAAGCAGTGACATAAATGTCAAAGAAACAAACATGCTGAAGTCTTTATTTCAAACGAGTAAAATGTCAGATAAAAAAAGAACAAAAAGAACTCCCAAATGCAGTTCAAAAAGGAGCAGGAAAAAGACAAAGCTAACATCTAATGTTTACTCATGTCATGATTTCTACACTTTCTAAATTATCTCAAGGCAATTAATTTATTATGATGTCTGATTTTTACTATCTAAAGTCTCCTGTAAGACAATCCGTACAGCTACAATCAGCAAAACAAACTGTTCTGTATAAATCCGTTATACACACACAACACGCTTTGTGTGTTTACATCTAGTTGTTTGTATCTGGTTATATGAGCTAATAAGCTTTTTTTAATCCTTCACAGTTAAAAGTTGCATTAAAAGATAATTCAGTCTAAAATGAGTCAAAATTCTCCTCACATCCCAAGTTTCCATACAATTCCGTTTCAATTATGAGCAAAAAGTTTAATCACAACTTATTTAGTAAACCTGTATCAAACACATGGTTATGTAATCTGCATCCTTATCCCTAAAGTATTAATTTCTTTGTAAGTGAGCAAATTGCAGTATCCACAGAAAATCAAGTAAATCAAATAAAGATTTTATCCTCTGATGGCATCTACACAAGCCATCCAATTTTAGACATTCTTAACAGGGGTCTGTGTGTGTGCACCAAATCAGGTCCAAATAATTGAAAATCTAAAGGCTTAAAATATTCTTATCATCATCTTTGCAAAGGATGCAGAACAAACAATTTCTAAAGAGTATGAATAATGCTTTGAACAATGAAAAACACCCAACAAGTGAGAATAAGCCTCAAGAGATTTTTTTGGAAAATGAGTAGTCAACAAATGAGTAGGTTTTCTCAGATTTATAGCAGGTTTATAGTAGGATCAGGTTGTTCTGGTTGTCATGAAGCCTTGACGCAAATTCAAACTGGAAGACTCTTCAGCCTCACCTGCATCATCCAATCACCGCATCATGTTCACCGCCAACAACCTCAGCACCAGACCATGACCTGCCTCGTCCAATCACCAATCAAGCTCCCGCTTATAAGGATCCTCATCCATGACATCATTAGCTTTCAAGCTGTGCTCAACCCACCTCCACCCCTTCTCCACCTGCATTCTCCCAGCTCTCCAGGCTGCCATCCTTTATCCGACCTCCACCACCAGTGTACAGGCCCTGGGGGGAACATATCTCTAATCTGCATTGGGGATGCTCATCCGAGCTTATTGCAATTCACAGCTCAAGTCTTCTGCCGGGGCACCAGCGCCAAATAACTTTAATTTATTCATGTCAATAAACCTTTTTAATTGCTGTTTTTCAGTCAATTAAGACTGGCAGATGAAGTGACACATCCATTTTGTCATTCTTTTAAATCTGTTCATTAAGTTTGTATGAAAGAGTGAGTTTCAGCAATGGTTATTTTCCCATACAATGAAATTATATGACTAATTATATCTCTAATAAATTATCAAGATTTGTTTTGCAATTGTCTTTGTTTTCTTTATTTGTGGCAAAATGACATGGCAAGTTAGGGTTAGGGTTATTGAACTAGCAGTTTGTGTAAGTTCAGTTTAGTGAAAATTGTAGTCATTATAGGAGTAAATCAGTTGTTTTCACTCTCATTTATGTAGAACAGTAACTATAACAACTAACACTTCAAACTGAGTTAAAAAGGCAACGATGAAATGTTAGCTTTAAGAGAAGATGTAAAAACACGAACACTCTGTGTCTAATATGTAGTGATAACCCATGCCACACACTGCAGCTTGCTGCTGCTGATTGCACATGCCTATTATTAGCCTCCTCCTCCTGCCTACATTGTGACTGAAGCTCTGACTTGTTCCAGGAAACAGTCAGAAGACTTGTTTGCTGTNTTCAGTAAACCATTTAAATACCCTGATGACCTGCGTGCTTTCTGACCGAAGCCCTATAGTGATCAGTTTAGAAAATCCAGCAACAGAGGTCAAAATCCTCAACAAATAAAATTAAATGATTGCACCTAAGTTATGAGCTATTCCTATGTGATATCTATATAATGTTACAACTACAGATACAATAGGGCTGGGCCAAAAGTGGACAGGTCTTAGAGTGCAAAAAGGTCTTTACAGGTGTCCAACTCATTTCTTCCTCATCAGATATCGCACTACTACAAGCCATTCTGGCTCATTCACAATTCAGATTATGCCTCAACACCAGTACATTGTATTTCTAAAGATCCTTGTGAGCCCACAAACAAAATAGACCACAGAGAACTCTAGCAGCCTGGGTGTTTTGGCTTCTGCTGTCGAACTAACAAGCCAAAAACACTCTGCTCACAACATAACTTTGCTTTGATTAGAATGGCAGCCTTGTGCCCAATCACATGTCACAATATGGAACCATCCCTTCAGTTAAAAACTCATAAATATAACTGACTCCTGTAAGAGAAGCAGCATCTGGCTAAAATATTATAAAATAAAAAAATTATTATGGGTCTGTTCTGTAGATTTGGTTGCATTGTACTGTTCATTTGTTAATGCTAAAAAATAGAAGTTTGATTAAAACAGACAAAAGTTAGAATGTGTGCTTTGTAGCAGAACTAACATAAAATGAAAGAAGTAAGGCTTCTCATATACATTGAATGTAAAAGGATTTATCATGCAAAACTTTATTTGCCAAATTACACTAAAATAACACCCCCTCCCGCTCTTAGACCCAAAACACAAGTTGCAGATGATAATAAATTAACATCCATTTGAGAGCACTAATTTAATGCTACCTTTGTAAATGATCAGGTCATCAACATTATACCTTCAAATGTCCCCCGAAGGTGTCAAAGTCAAAGAATTTACAAGCCTCATGGCCATAGCAGGTGGGCTCAGTCTCGCCACGAAGTAGGATGTTACGTGTCAGCAGGCCAACCTCTGCTCTCATATCCACCCCATCAACTTCTTCACCGATGTGGATAAATTTGGCTCTTCCTGGACCAACAACACATATACAAATACAAGTAAACTATCTCTTCTTAAGGGCTATAGGGTAAATCTTTTAGAAATGAACACCTATTATACAGTCGAGGTAAAAATATAGCACCTTGCAAAAGTATTCACACCCACTAAACCTTTTGAAGTTGCATCTTGCCACAATTTGTATTGCTATCCTGAAGCAGCAATGTGCTAGATTTACATGATAGTCAATTTATTTAAAACAGTTTATTCATATTGCTCTGATTGATAATTCTATTCAATAAAGCCAATTTACATCACACTAATTCACAACAAATGTCATCTCAAGGCACTTTCCAAAGAAATAAATAATTTCAGTTCAATCACTTGCATTTCAAATACATATCAAAATGGATTAACAGAAATCCAATCATATAGACTAGTGGTTGGCGACTATGTACTCATGGCACTAATGGAATGTAATGGGTTACCTAATGGCATACCCCAGGTCCCGTGCTCTCCCATTAGTGTACACCCACCCCAGTCTTATACTACGCTAGCTTCAACCCCTCTCCTGCTCTTAGATCTAAATCACAAACCAAAAGGTTCCATTGGATTTGTCTCTCCTTTTAAATGACTGGATAAATAGAACACAGAAATGAAACTGGCAAAGCATAAGAGCTTCACTCTGCTTGGAAATTTATGACAGCTTTAATCCATAGCAGTCTGTGATCATGAAGTTTGCAATTTTACCTGCAGGCAATCACTTCCATATACGTTTACTCAGTGCCTCTAAAAAGCACTGTAATAAACACTCACCAGCCAATTTATTCGGTACACCTGTCCAACTGTCATTAATGCAAATGTCAAATTAATGTCAAAAAACTACAAGGTGCCAAAACTCACCTAGATACACTGAAACCTGACTTCATTAAGTGCTATTTAGACCAAGAAGCATCAAACTTGATGTTTGTTCACTGTTTTAATATTTTATTGTTTAAATGTAAACAATGAAGCTAAACCACATTTATCCTCAAAACAGTAAGATAATACGCACAAAATAAATAAAATAAAAATAAAAGGATGTGAAGTCCTCACTCAAATGTAAATAGTAAATTTACTCAGTTTTTGTCACATAAAGATGTAACCTATTGGTATATGCACTAACGCGCATGAAATGCATGTTATCTGTGGGTAATTTCATTCTCCCTGGAAAGGGAGATTAACTCCAGTCAAGTCAGGTTTGATTA